CGACGAGCCGTCGCGTAATCTGGACCGAGATCCTCGTAAATGTGTAATCGCTCCGCGTCGCTGTCGGGAACGAAATCGGCGAAATCCACGAACAACAAAGGGTCCTGCATCGCGTGCTCGGCCTCTTCGGGAAAGCAACGCTTGATTTCCTCCTCGATTAGCGAGCTCATGTAGCGTTTGTCAGACTGGTCGGACATTCGATCGGCAAAAACGCGCGTTACTTCGTTTCGCCACACGCGGACGATATTGCGCACCACCCCAAACTTTTCCGGCGTCGCGCGGCAGAGCCCTTCGTACACGCGTGAAAGATCGCGTAGGTTGAAGATGTAGTGAAACTTCGCCGGCGTCGCGGGCAGCGCGGATACGACGTTCTGATAGAGGCTAAGGGTGGCTCTGGTGATGGTTTGAGCAAGCTGCTCACTGTTTGAGAGGTGTAAATCTTTATAGACATCCTGCAGGATTTGGGTATAGATCGCGTGGATTGATTCATCCTCCGGAAAGATGATGTTAAAAACGGTGAAGAGGGAAACAAAACGGGGGTCTAGGGCGTTACGACCACCCCCGGCCGGCGCCATCGCCGCCACGAACTGCGTATCCCGCACGGTTTTGAAGAGCAAATCCTTGCGATCGTACCACGATTGATGCTCAATAAGCAGCTTCAGAAAGGCAATCGGCTGCTGGGTTCCGTAGAGGTCCATTTTGGGCATGTTGATATCATCGATGAAGACCACCAAGCGCTTTTTCGCGGGCGGGCCGAGCACGGTGTTGATGCGCTTCTCCACATTATCCTCGATCGTGCGCTGCGCATCTAGACTACTCGTGCGCGAGCTGAAGTTCATCTCGAGCGGCATCTCCTGTAGATGGACATCGTCATCGTCGAGCTCGCTCAGCTTCATCGAATTCTGTTTGAGTTTCGACAGATAAAAGCGAATCGTGACAGTTTTCGCGGTTCCGCTCTCACCGACGAGCAACACCGGGGTGCGGTTCAGCACAATTTTGTCAAGCAGCCACATGTTGCGCTCGGTATCCACCGTCGAAACGAGAAGGGTGCTGAACTTTTGATTCGGTGCACGGGAAAAAGGCTGCACGAGCACATTCCATGGTTTCCACCGACCATCTTGAAGATCAAAGAAGTAATCATACAGGGTCTTTCGCTCAGGGAGTGAACCCGATCCAACAAAGCGGTTCAGGTAATTATCCCCGACATCTTGGAGACTCCACCCACTCAGCTTTTTGAGAAAGACATCAAAACGAAGGCGATCCTCCTGAGTTTTAATCAGCGCCCCAAAACTCCACAGGCACGCCAGAATAAACACACACTGCAGCGCCCGAGGTTCTAACGGCGTCGTACCGGGCGACATGGTATGCAACATCGTGGTGAGCTGCTTCACCATGTTCAGATCGGTGGTCGGAATAACAAGCTTCGGCGGCGGGGTGATTTCATTTCGGCATACACCATCCAACACAAAGTCGATCAGCGGCTGCACGAACTGCTCCGTTAACTCATCCAAGGTGTCTTGCTCGTCCTGAGGTCGCGTGATCCTCCAGGAGTACATAAAAGGCCGCCAACCCAGGTTGACGGGATCTAAAAAGACCATCCCGACGCGGGAAACGGTCGCCGGTGAGGCGTATTGGAGGTCGCCAACCTCGAATAGCAGGGAACACTGCGGGCGAAGACGAATTCGCTCCCCATTCGGCAGCGTAAGAAGTTTGTTATCATCCATGACGGAGTTCATATCCTCCACCCACTTCGCGTCGACATCACCGTCAAAAATAATGTACCGCCGCTCGTTTGAAGCGCTTTCGGTCGCGCAGTTAATGGAGCGGAAGATGTTTGAGAAGATCCCGTCCGACCAATTTCGCGTCATCGGATCCATGTAGCCATAAAGCAGCGAGGTGGGCTGCGCTTTGGGGTTAATCACGTAGGATTTGGTCGGGAGGCCGAGCTCCGCCTGGGCTTTGCAGAGGGTGTCGATCACGACGGATTTCCCACCCCCGGTCGGCCCCACCACCATCGACGTATGCCGCGTCTGCATCGTTTCATAGAGCTGCACGACCTTGTCGATTTGCTTCGCATCCGTTTTAAACCCCCGCGCGCGCAAAATCTTCGCACCGGCATTCGCGAGGTTTTCTTGAGGGACGCGGGTGGGATCGAGTCCGGGGAATAAATCCCCGATAAGGCCTCGGAATAAGGGCTCATCCTCCGCGATGAACTTCGGCGCGTTCATATCCCGCATCGCGCGCATCAGCACCGACTCTTCTTGAAGTTCAGGGGAACCGCGTTTGAGCCGACCCGCCATGACGAGCACCGCCTTGAGGGCGCGAAGCCCCCAATCGTAGTGGTATTGCTTCGACAACTGCCCCTTGGCGAGGGCGTAGAGGGTAACCATCTTCTTCGCCAACTCCCGGGCGGTTTTAAACCCCTCCGAGAACAGCATATTCTCCGCGATAAGCTCCATATCCGGCACGACCATCACCACCGGACGAAACAACGCCTTCAGGTTATCCGGCAGCTCCACACGCCCGGCGTAGCCGGGATTCATCGTGATGAAGGTCCCCACCGTGGGAACTAAACGAATCATTGAATCCCCAAAGAGAAACTCCGTCTGTTTGGCGCGCAAGGCCGCCTGGATCGATCGAAGCTGCTCCGAAACGACCGACAAAACTGGGAGTTCGATCCGATTAAATTCATCAAAACAGCCCCAGGAGCCGGTCTGGGATAATCCGGAGAAGATGGTCCCCATCGCCTTGTAATCCAACCCTTCGCCGCAATTAAACACCACGCACTGAATCGCCATCGCCTTGGCGAGATCCTTGACGGATTCCGTCTTTCCAGTTCCGGCGGGCCCGCCAGGGGCGCCGCCGAGATAAAAAGTGAGCGCCTGCGTGAGCGTCATGAAGCATCGATCCGTCAGAGGGGTGATCACCAGGCGGCCGTTTAACCCCATGTATTCGAACCCATAATTAAAATACCCGGTGCACTGGCGAATCACACAGGTATCGGTCGCGCGCTCCCAATAAAAACGAAGCTGCGACTCCCAATCAAACTCCCGCGCGTCGATGACGGAATCGCGTACGAAGCGGTCAACAATATCCCGGCCGTGCACATCGACAATGATAAGGGTGTTGATTTTTCGACGGTACTGGGTGTCGATATCCTTGTCAATCTCACCCACCAGGTCGAAGAGCTGCTCCGAAAGCTTTGATTGCAACTCCTTGACGGCGTTCTTCTTACCTTTTTTGAGAAGATCGAAGGCGTTTTCGATCTCGAACGTCCAGAAGATTTTGGTCCCCGTGAGCGTCACCATTCCAAGATACTCGTTCAACCACTTTTGACGAATCATCTTCGGGTAGTAAAAGACACCCGCCTTAAGAATGTCGTGGAGGGTGGAGCGGGATTCCTCCAGCACTTTCTGAAGCCACTCCTCAACCGGCCTCCCTTCCGTCTTTACGGGATTCGCAAAATCCAGCCGCTCGCCCTCCTGCGAGTCCACGCCGCAGACCGTCTCGTCGAACTCACTCTTAAACACGAGCGCCGCGCAGTTGTCAAACAATTTCAGCATGTGCTCCTGCACCGCACGAGCACTGCTGGTGGCGAGAATCGAGAGCAATTCATCATCCGAAATGAAATAAAACCGCGGAAAGAGATGCCGCTTGGAATCAAGATAGTTGGAAAGCTCTTTTTGACACTCCTCTAGTTTTTCCTCGATGTAGGAAAGCTCCTCGAGACGTCCCGAGACGTTGCAAACGTGAATCACGTTGGGAGATGCCGTGGTGTCGTTCATAATGCGCACGAACTTCTTATCGAGATCGATGAACTTGGCGGTCTCCTTCGGTAGCTGAACTGCGATATCCTCACTGCCCATAAAAATCGACTCCAAGTACTGCCACTTCTTTTGAACCGCCACCCAAATCGCGATCACTTCGTTGATCATGGATAACTTATTTTCCCACATTCGAACATCATCCATGAAGGGCTGGGCCCATTTGACGTTGGCGATGGATTGCATCTTCAGGGTATTGTCGTCGACGGCATCTTGAATAGTGGAGAGATCGGTGAGGACGTTACAACGCACATCCCCTTTTCGGGGCTCGTATTTGGCAAGAATGAAGTCTTTTGCAGCCCAGAACTCGCGCATGTTACGAATTTCAGTTTCGATATTTTGCTCGCGTGCGGCCGTCAGGGTGATGGTGTCCACCTCATCGGTAAAGCGGAAGAGCTCCATCGCGATCAAATCGTTTAAGCTCATCTGCTCGTACTTGAATTGCCTTCCGGTCACCCGCATCAGCTCCTTCCAGTGCCGCGACTTAAGAGCAGGACTTTTGAGTTTCGAAAGAAACGGTAACGAACTCTGAAAGTTGAGAATGAGCTCCTGGATCGGCAAGAAGACCTCGAGGGTGCCGTATTGCTTCCCCAAAATGCGCGTCTCCTTGGCGATCTCCTCCGTTGTGGTTTCCAGATCCTGCAACAGGATATCCTTCCACCCACAGCGATTCCATCGCCGCAGCACCGCCATCCATTTCTCATACACCGCATACACCACCTCCACCTTGGAAAGCTCGTCGTTCATGATTTGAAGCGACATATGGGTGGTGAGGGGGAGATCAAAAAGTTTCTCCGCCTTGGTGAGCTGATCGCGTTTGAGCTGAAGGGCGGTCACTTGAGTTCGCCACTCCTTTTTCAGGGCGTTACCCTCCGCGAGGTCGATATCGCGGCGGTTCGGCCCGGTAAGACGGAACCGCCGTAACGCCTCATCCTCTTCCTGCAAAAATCGATCCACCTCTTGGATCGTCTCATCGCGAAACTGCGCCTTTCGCTCCTCAAAATTCAACCCCGTCTCGTGGACGTGAGCTAAGGTGCACTTCCAGAGCTGCTGAAGCCCCATCGCGGTGGCGACCTCCTCCTTGTCGATCTTGATCCCAAAGCTCAAGAGGGAGTGGTAGATGTACTCCATCTCTCGGATCTCCTGCTCCACCTCCAACGACGAGGCCTTCGCTTGATGCATCACCTCCAGGACAAACTTCAGCGCGTCAATGTTCTCCACATCCCGATTGAGGTCTTTGTTGAGTTTGACGAGGTGATTGTACTGCCGCATCATCCGCGCGCGCACGGTATCGTTGAGCTGCGCCCCTTCCATCGAAATCCACTGGTAGATGTGGTCGACCAACTCCGAGAAAAACGGCGTTTCATCGCAGCGCATGAACCCGAAATCGTGGATGTGGTTCTCACTATCAAAGTCGTTGATCATGTTAAAGTACAGCTGAAATTTGGCGTCGTAGTCGATCCAATGATACTGACTCTTGGCTTGTTGCTCGACGGAGATCTTTTTATCGGCGAGGTAGACGAATCGATAGCGCTGAAGCATCTTAATATTCGTGGCGAGCGCGGCCAGATGGGTTTGAATGGTTCGGTTGATCAGCGCCTGGAGTTTGTACACCAACGGCAGATTATAGGTATCCTGATGAAAGGTAAAAAGAGTCGAGTAATCCTCATCCACCGGACGGGGAACGATCTCCCCTTGCGTGAACTCCAAACACGTCCCGCGCATCCAGCGCTGGAAGAGTTTGGTGGAGTCGACAATCCCGGACTGAATCTTGTGAAAGGCAGAGGTGATCTCCTGATGCGGCGGCGAGTAGTTCGGCTCCGTGGTGAGAAAGATCGTCACCTTAAAGAGCGGCGGCCGCTTAGAATGGCGCGAGGAGGTATACCCCACCAGCTTCGCGAAGGCTTCCAGCGATTTGCAAACCATCGTCCGCAGGGCCCGCCAAATCCGATGCTCCCAATGGCTGTAGTAGCTCTCCAGGGTTGGGCATTTCCCGGTGTGGGTGCCGACGAGCTGACTTTCCACCTTCGTCAGGAGCGGCTTCGCGATGCGGTAAGCGCGAACGCAGCGCTCCAACTGCCCGACGCGGCGTTGCTCGACCAAATCCAGCAAGGCCTGCAGCTCCGGGAGCTCCCCGCCGTCCTGGAGGATCTCCTCGTACTCCGGCATGAGCTTCGTCGAGGCGATTTTGTTCACCACCTGGATTTGAATGCTCTGCGCGCTCTTCCGGACCTCACGGCTAAGATTTCGGAATTTGGTGATCGCCCGGCTGCAGCTGGCGACAAAGTCTGGAATGCTCAGGCTCGTCCAGTTGATATCATGAAAGCCAGGCTCCAGCTCGGCCTTGAGTTCGGCGATGTTTTTCGCCAAAATTGCGCATTCCGGCCCCTCAATAATCCCTAACTCGTAATTGAGATTCAGAAGCATCGTCTTGAGGGATTCAACATAAGTGTGGTAAGCCTCATCCTGCAACATGATGTGGAGGGCTTCCTGAGGAACTTGAAAGCCAAGCAAATCAAGGTACTTGGTCTCGCGAATAATATCAAAAATTTTGGGATCGAAGTTCACCAGATACGTACTGTTCACCTCTTTTCGAAGAATATTCCACTTCAGAGAGGACGTCTTGGTATGCTGAATATCCTCACGCCATTGAATAAAGCGTGCTGTCGCGTAATCCTTCATTTGGCGGGCTACCTCAACGTACTTAGCCTTGACTTGCTTCCCCATCGAGGTATTAAGCATGGATTCCTGCTGAAAACGAAGGATCGGCTTCTTGATACGCTGAAAGAGTGCCATACTCCAGTGAATGGAACCGGCAACGGGGGGCTGATTCTTGGTGAGCGGCGGATTGTCGCGATTCTCAATAAAAATCGTCCGAACATCCTCGAGTTCGGAGTAGTACTGGGCAAGAATGCGGTCAGCTTTTTCAGAAAGAAGGGCAGATATATCCAAACTCGTCCCGCTCCGATGCGGACGGTTCTTAATTGTCTCGAAGGACAACAAAAGCTCGAGGGCAGACTCCGCACTGCGCAGGTCTTCGTCAAATATTTTGTTGATGAAGTAGGAAACCTCCTGGTCGAGGTTGGCGACCATATTGATGAAGGTTGAAAAGACCACTTGCCAGTTGTGGGTGGCTCGTTTCTCAAAAGGGTCAAAAGTAAGGGTCTCGAAAGGTCGCTTCAGCTTTTCGACGTCCTTCAGGATGCGCTCAATACCCGTGGAATCGGTCAAAACGGTCTTGAGCTGTGAACTCAGCACCATTGTGTAATATTCCACCGTCTCGACCACATCTAGCAAATCCGTGCATCGATCGTACATGTAATCCGTTGTATCGAATAGACGGCGCGTATCGAAGTTCCAATTCTGTTCACGCTCAGCACTGTTGATCTCCTCCCGGACGTTTGTATAGGCGGCCTTCCATTTTATAAAACACTGCTGGCCCTCCGTTACCTTTCTGCGAGCTTCGTTAATGGGTAACAAAAGGATCGTGCGAAAGTCAATATGCTCACTCACCTTTTGTGCAATGAGCTTCGCGACCTTCTCCAAAAGACCAACCATACGCTCTTCAGTCGAGTAGAAACGCGAAATGATCCAAACCATGCGTATGGCAGTCATCATCGACGACAACGTGTCGATAATAGGCGTCAGGGAGCCGTTCTTGGCGTCGATATTTTGCAACGTGCGAAAATGGCGATCTAAGGTACCGAGAAACTTCACATTATCCTTCGCCTCCGCGTGTTGATGAAAAAACTGCTGCAGGGTTGTGGTAATCAGCATGGCCGACGGGCACTCCGCCTCTGTGGCGATCCGGAGAATAAATCTCGCCTGAGGAGCGTTAATCTGCTCGTAAAGGGCGCTAATAGCGCTATACTTCTCCCGCCAGTACTCGATTTCGCCTAAGGGGCCCGTTTTCTGTGGATCGAGCGACATCGCGTAGCTGATTTCCGCATGCCACTGCGATACTGTAAAATCCACCTCACGCAGCAACTCCGGATCGGCAAGGGAGGCCTTGAGGTCCGCGTCGCTCGTGCCGAGGGAGAGCAAATTTTGCGGCATCGGCAGCTTCCGCTCCGCACTCACCTGCTTAATAAAACCGCACATCTGCGTATCCAGACGAGAAACCCAGTTCGCAATTTCACTGTAAAGATGACGACAGGAGATGCCGCCGGAGTTCTGCGGGGCTCCTGAAACCCCCGAGGCTGGGGAGGTATCCGTTAACATGTAATCCTCCGTATCCGCGGTCACTGCAGCAATCGTAGGGGATTCCGTGTTGGTGCTATTCAATGGAAGTTTCCGTTTCATGCTGTTCTTCTCAATGTTCTGCACAACCGGGTAGAGCACATCTTTGAGGAAAACATGGAAGGAAATGAGGGATGGTATCTGCATACAGCACATCTCAAACGCCGTGTGAATCGGGGAAAGGGGGTTGGTCCGCCAATCCGCCACAGCCTCCGCCGTAATCTTTGTTCCGTCGATTCGGCAGAAGTACACACACCGAGTACGATCAAGAGGATTGTGAATAGAGCCCGTGACATTGGTGCTGTGCACCGCGCCGGTGGAGACGCGAAGTTTCCGCATAACTTTCTGGGTTTGAGAGACCCCATTGGAGGGGATGTGAGGAATAGTCTGGTTCAATGAATTCGCGATCATGTCATCATCGCGCGCCGCTACTACAAAAGACGGCTCAAGGGCACCTTTTTGACCTTCAAAAGCCAAGAGGATAATTTCGACAGCCTCCTTGTCATTAAACAGATCTTCAATGGATTCGATGGAAATGTTGTACAGATTTCTCTGTATTTGATCAGCGACCCACTCCAGGCGTGGATCTTCTGAGAGCATGGAAAAGAATCTAAGGAATGCTATTTACAAAACACACAAAAAAAATATGGTAATCGGTATGGGTCCAATTTTTTTTAAGTGCAACTTTTAATTCAAATATGAAGAATAGACGAGGGAAAATATTCGTATTAAAATTAAAAACTAGTAACTGCAAAAAATCACGGCTTCCACATGTCAAAGTAATACAATTAAGTAAATGGTACTATGGGAATTGTAATAAAACCCGAAGTTATGGTGTATGAGCATGAGGAACATTTGTTTAAAATGAATATATTAGTAATTGTCATTTCCAAAATTTTAAACAATCGCATTATTTGATATCGAATAGCACATACTATACAAAAAAAAAAGTGAAAGGGATAAAACCCCAATATTTTCGCTCAAAAAGGTAGTCTATTTATTTACATATTTCTCAGAGTTGAATCATAAGCAGATCGCCTTTCAGGATCTCTCAGCACACTGTGAGCTCGGTTGAGTTCCTTAAAACGATCCACAGCAATTCGCTGAACATCCTCAGATTCATTTACCACTTTATCAGGGTGGCATTGTAAAGTGTGGCGTTTAAAGGCCTGTCGAATATCCTCAAAAGTAGCGCATGGATGCACACCTAAGATATCATACAAGGTATCTTTGGGCAGATCTGGTCTGTTCTCCGAGAAGTTTTGATGGCTCCATCCAAACCCTTGATCGGTAGAGTTTTTTTTTGAGCCTCCTAAATTAGGTTCCGTGGTTTCAGAAAAATTTAAATAAGATGGATTAAGGCGAGCAGCCATGCATCGGTCAGCTGCTGCCTCAACTGTCTTTTGCGTGCGCTGATACGCTTTAGCCCGCACAAAAAATGCCTTTGCATGTGCCGCATCGAGCTCAATACTCTTTGTACAATCCTCAATAGCCTGGAGGGGACGACAAAGTTGCAGATACGCTTCGGCTCGCATCACGAATAAAAAGGCATTGATTCGATTATTTTTACTATCCATGGCGAGCGCATTGGTTAGATGTTTAACCGCATTCTGAAGTCGACCTGCTTCCATGTCGGATTCCGCCTTGGAAATGGAATCCTCAAGCGCCACCAAATGGCAGCCAAAACTTATGGCGGGAGTGCAAAACGGATCCACTGCTAAACACCGCTGAATCAATACAGCGGCAATATTCATGTATTCTCTCCCACAATACAGACCTACTTTTGAAAGAAACAAGTTGGCATTCAGATAGGCTCTGGCAATATAGTGTTGTTGATATTTTTCCTCATCACACTGATATTCCGCACTACCTGAAGAAGTAGCAGAAGGGGGGTCATGATATGGCATATGGGCTAAGTACCCCAACAGCACCTCCCTCGCTGCGTCCAGCTGCCCGTTTTCAAATAACACTACCGCCTGTAAGAATGTCAAGGAAGTGGCTTCAATGAAGTCCAGAAGATCTTTGGATTTCATCGTCGCTAACGCAGAAGACCATTCCCTGTTATTCACATATTCTCTGAAAATACGAATCTGCGGTACGCAATCACATTCCTTCTTTAGCAGCAACAGGTCGTCTTCTGCGAGGTGGAAAGTATTGGAAAGAGAGGCGGTTTGATCACACTTGTCTTGAGAAAAAATGAGATTGTAGAGGACCTCAGCTTCATCGTATCCCTCGCAAAGAAGAAGCGAGCGAGCCCACAAAATCACAAATCGAGAATTTAACCATTTCAATGCTACAGGTTTGTCTTCATGGTTGAGCACCACCTTAGGACCTGGGAACGCACAGGTGAGCAATCGCCAGCATTTGTGACTTTCGTCAGCGCATTCAGCGTAATTATACAACTGATAACTGCAAAAAGCTCGAATGGCGCTCAAGACCACAAAGCGGCTTCCCATCATCTTATTCACACGCATCATATTTGAGAGACCTAGGTACGCACGGGAATATTCATGTGAATCCAACATGCTCTGTATTTGTCCATAGTCTGATGCCCAGAAAGATTTCAAATTAGCGCCATTTGTGTTTAGATCTACGGCGTTTACTAAAGATTCAAGAAGCTCCCCCCAGAGCCTCTTTTCCTCAGACTCAATCGCATCTCGCTGAGAAGCTTCTAAAGTCGTAATTGTAGCACGTCTAGCGCTCAGAGCCTTCAGGTTTTTTATTTTTGATAAGATTGGCAACTTATCACTAGTCGTAGTAACCTTGGTAACATCTTCTGAGATAGATTTGCTTGATATGGGACGAGATGAAACAGTAGATTCAGTTCCAGACGGTGTATGAGCACAGGCAGATGTGGGCTTAGTGAAAATATTACGCTGAAGGTTCCGTATGGTCGGAAAAGCGATCGAAGTTGTCATATTCGGCAATTTACCTTCCTCAACTGTTTTATGAATACAAAATGTCCGGCGGCGACTGTTTTGCATGAAGGCTCACCTTTACCTTCTTGAAACTATTGCTAAAATAAATAAGCTTCTGAGGATCTTGTGAATCAAGCCCCTTCCGTCTTACAAAGAAAAAAATAAAAAATGTTCGTTTGTGTCCAAGCCACTAGATTTGTCTGTTTCTTACAGCACCAATTGGCTTAGCATTTTTAGAAAAATAAAAAATAATCAAAATAGAAATAAAAAGAAACAAAAAGTGAACAAATCAAAGAACATTAAGGGGCTTCCTGTATGGTAGAAATCATGGTGGATAAATAGCTGATCTTCTCTCACACCCTCTCTCTATATGTATAAAAGAACTTACACATTTCACCAATAAAAGCCGCACAATATACTTACCTTCCTCATTCAATTGTGGATGTACCTCAAATGTTGAAATAAACTCACAGATATTCTTTGGAAAAGGAAGAAGTTCTTCCACCTTCCCCACCTTTGATTCATTGAATGCACGCAGTCTCGATTTAAAATCTTAAATGACACATTCTTATCGACCTTGCTTCTAGATGCATCAAATGACGAAGAGTTCATATTTTTGCAGTCTACCTTTTTATTCATTCAAACTCATTAACTTGGGCCTAGGTGCATAACTGGTTATCCTTTCGCGTCTTTGCCTTTTCAATCGTGGTGGAACTTGCGGCTACTGCCAAAGCCCTTCCCATCCCCTCGCTTATCCTGGGCCTTAGGAGCCAACTTTCCGGCCGCTAACAACGCCGGGCTCATCTGAAGTAAATCAGATAACTGGAAAAAAACGACATTGGAGCCACGCAAAAAGACACTTTTCATGGTCGTTTTCTTACCGGATTTGCTAACTTTTGTGGCATCAACTAAGAGCACGTTCATCGTATCCTGCAGTTCCGTGAGAGTACCGCTGTACACCTCACCGTTGGCTAATTCAAGAGAGACCTTGGTTCCGATAGCATCATAAAGAACCTTTAAGGGAATACTGAATGACATTATAGCCTCAAAACACGATAGAAAATCCTCACGAAATTGGTTAGTTAGGCTTTATTATGTATATTACTGTTTTATATGTAATAATATGTCCGCTGAATGAATCTAATCTAAACCTTTTCACAGCCAAATATAAAACTCAGAACTATAGCGGATAAATAAGAAAATAAAAGGAAACAAATAGTATTCTCTTTGTGAAGTAGAATTAAGCACAAAACACGCTACATTTAATTTAAGAAAATGACTAGAATCTTCGATCAGGGCAAGCTGAGTTGCATTTATAATTTAAAAAACGATACAAGAAGTCCGTAATGTACCCACTTGCTGTTGAAAGATTGTGAAAACAGGGATAGTCATAAAGACGACTAAAAAATGGAGTTGTAATATGCAAGAAGCTCATCATAATAAAATAATTATAATTACAAAGTGCTTCCCATCATTAATACATGTCTTATAATACTTTTCGCAACGCTATTCGTACGCTCGGTGATAAGTTGCAATAATACCGCTGATTGAAACATATTTATAACTCAATCCAATCTGATATTCTCTGCTTTCGTTGCAGCTCCCCTTTTTTTGAAATTAAAAGAGTTCCATCCTCACGCGTACTTTCACCTACATCGCGCAAAACTTTCTGCTGGGCGATATTCATGTGTTCACCTGCCACCGATGGCATTGAGAGACCTCATAAACTGCTCAGAACATACGCAAATTTTGATGTTATCATGACCAAAAGCGGTTTCCACATACTAAGAAAAGCATTAACTACCCACTAAAAATAATGATGCTGGTTTTTCAGTTGTGAGTTGAGCCATATCTTGTGCAAAAGAGCGAAAACAAGTGAAAAGATCTTAAATACCGCTTTGTGAACAAGGTAGAGAAATCTCCAGCATTCTCACATAACTTTTTGCTGGCCCCTCAAAGCCCCAACTGAATTTGTTGTTCCTCTAATAGAACGACTGAGTGTGTGAAAACATACGCCTTTCAAAGAAAATAGTACAAAAAAAAACAGAATCAACCATAAAAGTTAAATTGAATAGATATGCAGCACAACGCCTCTAAATCATTTCCCCTCCTCACAGAAACACATGAAGAGAACCCCTCCCGATTGAGTAAATATAATTTTTTAATAAAATGATATTTTATGAACAGAAATGGGAAACCCTTGGTATTTGGTGAATTTGTAAGCGACACGAACACAAAAGTATTTATATACAACCCTTTTCTCTCTGTCACCATCTGGCAAATATGAAATGGATAAAAACGCATGGTTATTAAAGAGATAAAAATGTGCGCTCAATCTTTCTAGTTTCATTTCCCTCCCTAAATATGGGGAATCACGACTAAACAAAAAATGCAACTAATAAGAATGACACCCCCAATTTTCTAATTCACTACACTTTCCATCTTTCCCCCCAGGAAGCACCAAGAAACACACAAAAATAAGAATCATCCTGATCCCAAAACACATTCATCCACCCCTTTCGATGGTACTCAATGGATGCCAGCCGACTCCAAGGCCTGCTCCATCGACAAATACGTTATATAAGGCGTATTCGCATCGCGCTGGTCCGCGGCCATCTCCAACATCAGCAACAGCTGCTTGATTGGCAGCTCACGTGGAAAGTTCGCCACGATTTCTTCCCGATCCCGTGTGGAGGCGAATGCGATACCCAAACTGTCGGCAATCTGCAGAATAGACTCCGGAGGCACCAAGGGCACCTGCAGCTTCACCGAAAAGCACGATGCGAGCTCCAAGCTATCGATGATCTCGAACTGGGAGGTGGTTCCGACCACCATGAGCTTTTTCCCCTCATCAGGGAGCCGCTTAATCAAGACCAAAAAGGCCTGCAAGAGCGCGTTGCTATACCGCCCCCCGAGGCTGGAGAAGTCAATCAACCGCTCCAAATCATCCAAGATAATGCAGCTCGCCGGCGACTTATAGGCATCCTCAAAGGTCCGTCGAATGATATTCACCCGCTGCATCTCGCCATACCCGACCATATCCTCCGCCGCGATCACCTTCGTATAAGGAAACCCCGCGAGTTGGGAGAGGTAGGCGGCGACCGCCGACTTCCCGCCGCCGGCGGCGCCGTCGATGAGGACCGTCATCGCGTGGATCCGCTTCCCCTCGTCGTTGAGCTGCCCGACGTAGCGCGCGCAGCGATCCCGGACGACCGCCCAGCGGGGGCCGAAGTCGAC